TGTGTGTGTGTGTGTGTGTGTGTGTGTGTGTGTGTGTGTGTGTGTGTGACAGAGAGGGGGAGGGCAGGGGACTCTGTTCACCACAGCTGTTGGCTCCCAGCCCTCTTCAGCGGGGCTTCTCTAAAAGATTTTGTTAGGGTGCTGCAAACTGGACAGGGTGGGCCCGGGGGCCTTCATTCTGAGCAGGGAAGCAGGACACTGGGTCGGGACAGCTCGGGAGCAGAGCGAGTGGCCGTGGGTCAAGAAGGACGGGTGCACTGGACTAAGGCCCAGCTGTGCCCCAGGCCCTGAGCCAGGGGCCTCCCACACAGGCCTTCATTCTTACTCCTCACGACAGCCCCGCAAGGTCGGCATCGTCCTGCCTGGGTTACACGTGAGGGAACTGAGGCTCAGAGCCTTGTGGTCACACAGTGGTGGAGTCGCACGTGGTGCTTCTCCCGGCTCCAGAAACCCTGCCCTCCCACGGCTCCCTGGGACTCACCTCTGCCTCTCTGTGCGCCTGCAGGCGGCTCACTCAGCCGCTCTGAGCCTCAGTTGCCCCAGCTGCGCTGTGCGGGAATCATTCGGACCGCTGTGGGGCTGAAAGGCGCTTGTGGGGACGGCTGGCTGTAGCCGGCCCCCCAGGTCTTCCTCTCGGGGCTCAGCCAGGCCGTGTCTCCCTTGTCTGCCTGCAGAGGGGCTCCCGGGCACCGCCCAGCAGGTGATCCAGGTGGACAGGGACACAGTCCTAGTCTGCTTTGACCGTGAGTGCCCCTGAGGTCAGGGCTCAGGGCAGTGGAGGGGCTGAGGGGAGGCTGAGGGAAGCCATGTGCGTGTGGGTCTGCCTCCCCAGAAGGGAACCACCCCATTTGCACCCACCAGCCCTCTCCCTGTACAGGCTGCGTGAGGATGGTCAACCTGCTGGGTGAGCCCACGGCCACACTGGCGCCCGTGCTGACCTTTGACTTTCCCATTGAGACTGTGGGTGAGTGAGCTGGATGGGGGTGGGGGCGGGAAGGTCCCCAGCCCAGAGCATGTGATGTGGCCCGGGGCGGGGCGGGCAGTGGGACAAGGAGGCAGGTGCCCAGCCCCTCTCAAGAGGTGACACACCTGTCACCTGCGGTCTGTGAGGACCTCGTTGGCCCAGACCTGGGCCCAGGGTGTGGCTGCGGGCGCCAGCATCCTCAGGGCAGGTGCAGGGCTGAGGCAGCCTGATGCCTCCTAGTGTGTCTGCAAGACAGTGTGCTGGCCTTCTGGAGCCATGGGATGCAAGGCCGTAGCTTGGACACCAACGAGGTGAGTGGAACTCTGGACCCTCGCTGCCCCTGGCCTGGTGGGCGCCACCTCCTGGGAGAGGAGCCACTGGGGTGGCCTCAGTGCCCCTTTTCTTCCCAGGTGACCCAGGAGATCACAGACGAGACAAGGATCTTCCGAGTGCTTGGGGCCCACAGGTAGGACGCGGTGCCCCGACCGCCCCTTCAGAAGCCCCTGAGGCCATATGGATGTGCCCACAGGTCTTCCCTGCCCGCCTCACCTCCGGTTCTCTCTCCCCTCCAGGGATATCATCCTCGAGAGCATTCCCACTGACAACCCAGGGGCTCACAGCAACCTCTACATCCTCACAGGCCACCAGAGCAGTTACTGAGAGGGCCGGGCGTGGCCAGGGGCATCCCCCCCTACGCTGCCCCCAGGCCTTAGCTGCATTCCCTTTTAGGCAAAAGGGGCCCCTCCCAGGTCAGAGGAGCCCAGGCTCTGCTGGTCTGAAGGGCAGAAATAATCCTGAGAAGAGTGTTGCAGGCTGGGGGTGGGGGGAAGCCCACCCCAGGCCCCCCACAAAACTGGACCAGAGGAAGCTGCTGTCACCTCCCCCTCCCCTGTGGGCAGCTCAGGCCCTGCGGCAAGGGCCCCCGGGCAGGGTGGGGGCAGGCCCAGGTGACCCGTTCCATTTTGTTCCACATTTCCTTTCCATTCTTCCTGCCAAGAGCCTGCCCCTGCACCCTGTCCTGGGGAACATGGTATTTAAAAGAGAGACTATATTGGTATTAAAAGCTGGTTTGATTTTACTCCACTGATCCCTCTTTGTCCGGGGGAGCTGAGCCCACTGTCTCATCTCCCTCCTTCCCTCCAGCACATCTCTCTGTGGCACCAGGGAAGGGGGGGGGGGCCCAGTGTTCAGGTGATGGGGGAGCCTGGCAGAGCTGATGGAGAGGCCCAAAGACATCTCAGGGGCACTGTCTTCCCGGGCTCTCCTGCTCAGGATGGGCCCTCAGCTTTGAAGTGTGAGGCTCTTTTGTGGCCAAGGAACCATGCAGATGGGGGGGAGGCCAAGCTGAACAAAGGGACTCTCATCCAGGGCACCCCTGCCCTGTTCAGGGTCTCACCAGGCAGCCAGGGCCTAGGAGGGGCCAGCCACTGGCTGCGCCACCCAGTGCCAGTGAGGCTTTGGTCTGTGGACACAGCCTGCTATGACCTGTGTCCCCTGCCCAAGCCTGGGGCTGCCTCCCTGCCTCCCAGCTGCTGCCTAGGTATCAGTGTGCTCCATCAGGCCAAGACGGCAGAGTATGGGCTCCGTCATCAGGCTAGACTCTGGGAAGATTAGCCTGTGTCCATTTAACAAGTATTCCCAGACAGCCTCCTCAGTGCCAGACCCTGGGCTCACAGACGGGTCAGTACCAAGATGTGGACCAGCCCCCAGTGAAGGCAGCGATCCTTGCTGGAGCCTGCATCTCGAGGGTACGTCTGTCTGCCCGCGGCTGACCTTTTGCTTTGCATTGTCATTCTTGCACTTTTCCCTCTTAGAGGGCTCCATATCCTCAGGCCAGGGAGCCCCCCCCTCCATTGCCCCAGGCGCTGACCAGGCTGCTCTGGACCAGAGCCTTTGGGCAGGTGAGGCCAAAGAGGTAGGATGACTGCTAGCCTTAAAGGAGAGGTCAGGTGCACACACAGGTCGGGTGCACACACATGGCTGCATAGGGTGGGAAGGCCCTGGGTCTGGGGGAAGAGCTTGAGCAAAGGCCCAGGGGTCAGGTCTCGAATGTGGCCCAGTTACCTTTCTTCTGATATTCAAGGCAACTGTTTGAATTAAGAATTTCTCTCCACCTGGTGGGTTGTTGGTATTTGATAAATGGATGCAAATGGGTGGGTGGGTGGTGGACAGATGGCAGCTTAGGTGAAGAGCCTGCAGCGGCCCAGTCCCTACTGCCCCTGCCAGGGGCCCCGGCCATCCCCGGTTCTTCTGTTGTCCCCTTGTCCGCCGCCCCCGCAGAGCCCTGACTGCTCTGACTCCTAAGGTTTTTTGGCTGAAATAGATTGTCAGACGGGGAGGGAGAGAGAGCTGTACATTGGCACTCACACCTGCCCTCTCCCTGAGACCCAAAAGAGGGTGACAGGCACCTCCCAAGTTCTCGAAGTCTGCACCTGCCTGGAGGACGTTTGATGGACCAAATGGTGGAGTGACATGATATGATTCCTAACTTCCCATTTTCCAGATTTCCTGGTGGAGGTGTAGGACTAAGTTGAGGAGTGCCGGGGGCGGGGAGGTGAGCTCCCACTCAGAAGAGGCCCCTGACCCTCGCCCCAGGTGCCAGGGAGAGGACGACCTTCCCTCCTACAAAGCAGCGGCCCGCAAAGAGCGCCACCTTGTGGCAGGTTGCCCCTCCCGTGGCTGCCACCCGGGTCGGCAAAGGGGCTTTGGGGGAGTTGAGAGTGTAACATGCCAAAAAGTGGGGGGTCGGGGGGGGGGGGGGGGGGAAAGCAAGGGCTTCTGATAAAATATTCACTGGCAGCACAGGCTGGCTACAAGCCAAAGAAAGACCAGGAAGCTGGGAATTTGCACTGAAAAGACTGAAAGTGTTATTTTATGTATTTTTAAATAGGTAGCCCTTGTCCAAGGCCTGCTATTTTTTAAAAGAATACAAAATGGATACAATGAAAAGTGTCCCACCTAGGTCTCAGTTACTTCTGAACCCTTCTGGAAGTATTTAAGCAGTTCCGTATGATTTATTCTTCTCCCCTTTTTTAAATGTGCGGTAACACATTCCACACTGTTCTGCTCTTACCCTTTTAAAATCTGTCCTGGAGAGCTTTCCATCATCAGTGCTCCCCTCCCCTTGTTTTCATAGCTAGTGGTGTTCCATTGTATAACTTTCCCGCAACTCCTGTTCACTCACTGCGATTAGATCCCTACTGATGTAACTGTGTTTCTATGACTTCGATATTACGAGGGACACTGCAATAAATATCCTTGTGCAATAAATACCACGCCCATGCCACTCTGGCCATTCAAGTGTCCTGCAGGGTGACTTTCTGGAAGCGACATTGCTGCGTCAGAGTGGCCGTGTTTGTTCTTGTGAGAGCTACTGTCAAATGCTGAGCTGTGTTTTCCCCGTATAGCAAATCCTAAATCGGCCTGCAGGGCCACGGGGAGGATTGAAAATCCTGTAATATACAAAATGCAACAACACGGAGGAGCCTCAGAGATTGAATACTGAACTCAAAACAGCAAATCACATGAAACTACACACAGTACGGTCGCATTTTCAAAAGCTCAAAAAAACCAGCAAAAGGAAACCATTTATTGTCTGGGTGAGACAGGCACATGTGATAAAACCTTATTCGATCAGGGGAAGAAAAAGAACAAAATTCAAGACGATGGTCTCGGAGAGGAGAGTGGAGGAGCGATGAGGAAGGACCCCAGGAGTTTGCAAGGGTTTTGGTCAAATCTTGGTTCTCAGGTTGGGTGGTGGGTTCGTGGGCATTTGAGGTATGACAGTCCCTGACTCAGACAAGGTGCCACACATCCTTTTGTATGTGTCAAATACTATGTAATAAAATGTAAGTTTAAATATAATCACTCAAAAAATAAAACCTTGTAATGGGTTAAAAAAAAAAAGCCAGGATAATCCTTTCCTAGGTTATGAAATCAGCATTGTGAGTAGAACTACGGGCAGATCTCTCTCTCTAGTTTCTTCTGTTGTTTTTTTTTTTTTTTTAAAGATTTTATTTATTCATCTGAGAGAGAGAGAGAATGAGAGATAGAGAGCATGAGAGGGAAGAGGGTCAGAGGGAAAAGCAGACTCCCTGCTGAGCAGGGAGCCCGATGCGGGACTCGATCCCGGGACTCCAGGATCATGACCTGAGCCGAAGGCAGTTGCTTAACCAACTGAGCCACCCAGGTGCCCTCTTCTGTTGTTTTTTAAGACAGCTTTATTGAGGGGGACTGGCTGGCTCAGTCAGAAGAGTATGCAACTCTTGATTTCAGGGTTGTGAGTTTGAGCCCCACATTGGGTGTAGAGATTACTTAAAAATAAAAACTGAGGTGCGCCTGGGTGGCTTAGTCAGTTAGCATCTGCCTTCGGCTCAGGTCATGATCCCGGGGTCCTTGCTCAGGGGGGACCCTGCTTCTCCCTCTGCCTGCCGCTCCCCCTGCTTGTGTACTCTCTCTCTGGCAAATAAATCTTAAAAAAAAAAAAAAAGGACATTAGAAAAAAATCTTAAAAAGGGCACAACTATGGGTGGCATAGTTGGTTAAGCGTCGACTCCTGGTTTGGGCTCAGGTTGTGATCTCAGGGTCGTGAGACTGAGCCCTGGGTCGGGTCAGGCTCTGCTCAGCATGGAATCCGCTTGAGTTTCTCTCTCTTCCTCTCTGCCCCTCCCCTCTGCACGCATGAGCACACTCTCTTTCTCTCTCACGGAAATAAATCTTTAATAAAAATGAAATCTTAAAAAAACAGCTTTATTGAAGGAAAATTGGCATCCAATACACTGCATGTGTTGAAAATGTACTGATAGTGACACGTTACACATGGGAAACCACCCCCACCCCATCTCCCCTGCCCCTTTGTAATCATGCCCTCCTGTTCCTCCTTAGTACCCACTGAACTGCTTTCCATCACTATAGATCAATTTGCATTTTTCAGAACTTATATAGAATCGTACAGTATGCACTTTTTCTCTGCCTCTTTGAGCAGATTATCTGAGATTCACCCATGTTGCATGTATTCATAGCCGTTCTTTTTCATTTCCAAGTACTATTCCATTTCATAGATGTACCACAGTTTGTTTGGCTAGTCACCTGTTGGACATTTGGGCTATTTCCAGTTTTGGACTATTACAAATAAAACTGCTGTGAACATTCATGTATGTGTGTCTTGTGTGTGGACATATACTTTCATTTCTCTTGGATAAATACTTCGGAGTACAAGGCCTGGATCGTGTGGTGAGTGTTGATGAACTTTTTAAGAACCTGTGAAACTGGGTGCCTGGGTGGCTCAGTCATTAGGTGGCCGCCTTCGGCTCAGGTCATGATCCCGGGGTCCTGGGATTGAGCCCCGCATCGGGCTCCCTGCTCCGCGGGAAGCCTGTTTCTCCCTCTCCCACTCCCCCTGCTTGTATTCCCTCTCTCCCTGTGTCTCGTCTCTGTGAAATAAGTAAAATCTTTTAAAAGAGAAAAAGAAACTGCAAAACTGTTCCAGAGTGGTTGTACCATTTTCATTTTGCATTCCCAGCAGCAAGATAGGGAGAGTTCTAACCTCTCCACTTCCTCGGCAACACTCAGTATGGTCGGTCTTGGTTCGTTTTAGCCCCTCAAACAGATGTGTGGTAGAATCTCATGGTGGGTTTTTTTTTTTTTTAAGATTTTATTTATTTATTTGACAAGAGAGAGACACGGCGAGAGAGAGGCTTCCCACGGAGCAGGGAGCCCGATGCAGGACTCAATCCCAGCACCCTGGGCTCATGACCTGAGCTGAAGGCGGACGCTTAACGACTGAGCCACCCAGGCGCCCCTCATGGTGGTTTTCATTTGCATTTCATTCATGACTGATGTTGAGCATCTTTTCCTGTCCTTATTTACCATCTATAGGACTTCTTTGGAAAAGAGTCTGTTCAGGGGCGCCTGGCTGGCTCAGTTGGCAGACCATGTGACTCTTGATCTCAGGGCTGTGAGTCTGAGCCCCACATTGGGTGTAGAGAGTACTTAAAAATAAAGTCTTTGGGTGCCTGGGTGGCTCAGTTGGTTAAGCGACTGCCTTCGGCTCAGGTCATGATCCTGGAGTCCTGGGAT